AAAAGGTAAAAAAAAACTAACAAAGTCCTGAATGGATCCTCCTGGCTCATAGGAGCGATTGCTCCCTTTGTCCGTTCGCACAAAACTACCGAATGGCGCGCTCCTGGCTGTTCGGTAACTAAAGGAAGCAGGCGTTCGGTAGTTTCAGCGGTGGTTCGGGAGGTCAAGTGTCCGATTTTAGTTCCAGACACTCGACGACCAAGTCCCGCTGACTACCCTTGTGCGCAAAAGATGGCCGCTGTTTTCTATTCCACGTGGCGTTTGGCTATCCGAACAGCGGCCGCCCAGGGAGTACTTAATAGATGGTTCTTTTGTAGTTAATGAGCCAGGAGGGTGGTCGTTGTTCGGTAGTTTCAAACTACCGAACCAATATATTCAATACACATGCAATACTTGTGGGAAAAAGACCGAACAAAGGAGAAAATGTTAAACAAAAGTCCATTTTCTTCACAATACAAAAATATTTGGTGAAAAATAGTTTCTATTGAACCTATTTATTTTTTGGGTCAAGATCAAAATCAACTGCCAAGATGTAATCAGGGCCGGCGCTACCTGTAAGGCGGACTAGGCAGCCGCCTAGGGCGCCCCTTGGGAGGGGGCGCCGCCAGGAGCGCCGGCCCCCCTCATGCTGCAGCCGCCCGAGCGCTCTGTAAAGAGCCTCAGGCGGCTGCAGCTTTGCCCGGGCGGTGCGTCCATGAGGGCGGACCGCACCGCCCGGGCGCAGCCTGAGGAGAGGCTGACAGGAGGGACACGCTCAGCGCTCTCTCCTGTCAGCTCCCTCTCTGTAGCGTGGCCGAGCCCTCTATGGCATGGTCCGACCGGTACAGAGAGCAGCTGTCTCCTGTACCCGGCCGGACTAACAGGAAGTACACACTGAGTGTTCACTTCCTGTTAGTCCGGCCGGGTACAGGAAACAACAGCTCCCTGTACCGGTCGGACTATACTGGGCTCGGCCACACTACCACACAGGTAGGGGAGGGAGGGGGAAGAAAGAGGGAGGAAGGGGGGAGAAGAAAAAAGAGAGGGAGGGAGGGGGAGAAGAAAAAAGAGAGGGAGGGAGGGGGAGAAGAAAGAAAAAGAGAGGGAGGGGGAGGAAGAAAGAAACAGGAGGGGAGGGAGAGGGGAGAAGAAAAAGAGAGGGGAGGGAGGGGAGAAGAAAGAAACAGGGAGGAGGGAGGGGGGGGAGAAGAAAAGAGAGGGAGGGAGGGGGAGAAGAAAGAAACAGGGAGGGAGGGGGAAGAAGAAAGAAACAGAGAGGGAGGGAGAGAAGAAAGAAACAGAGAAGGAGGGAGGGGAGAAGAAAGAAACAGAGAGAGAGGGAGGGGGAGAAGAAAAAGAGGGAGGGGGAGAAGAAAGAAACAGAGGGAGGGAGGGGGAGAAAGAAACAGGGGGGGAGAGAGGGGGAGAAATAAACAGGGAGGGAGGGGGAGAAAGAAACAGCGAGGGAGGGAGGGGGAGAAAGAAACAGGGAGGGAGGGGGGGGAGAAGGAAACAGGGAGGGAGGGGGAGAAGGAAACAGAGGAGGGGGGAAGAAAGAAACAGGGAGGGAGGGAGGGGAAAGAAACAGGGAGGGAGGGGGAAGAAAGAGGGAGTGAGGGGGAGAAGGAAACAGGGAGGGAGGGGGAGAAGGAAACAGGGAAGGAGGGAGGGGGGAGAAGGAAACGGAGGGAGGGGGAAGAAAGAAACAGGGAGGGAGGGAGGAAGGGGGAAAAAAGAGGGAGGGAGGAGGGAGAAGGAAACAGGGAGGGAGGGGGAGAGGGAAACAGGGAAGGAGGGGGAAGAAAGAAACAGGGAGGGGGAAGAAAGAAACAGGGAGGGGAGGGGAGGGGAGGGGGGAAGAAAGAAACTGACAGGGGAGGGGGGAGAAAGAAACTAACAGGGAGGTGGGGGGGAAAGAAACTAACAGGGGGGGGAGACATTGACAGGGAGGGGAATTGACGGGGAGAGAGAAATTGACAGGGAGGGGGGAGTGACAGGGGAGGGAGGGGGAATGAGAGTAACAAGGGAGGGGGGGAGAGAGTGACAAGGGAGGGGGGAGAGATTGACATCCATCACACACACACACACAATCACACACAATGCACCCCTTACACACAAAGACAATGAACCCCTTGCACACAGAAAAACACACAATGCATTACACACACAATGCATTACACACACACACGCAATGCAACCCTTACACACAATGCATCCCTTGCACACACAGAAACACACAATGCATTCCTTACACACACTCAATGCACCCCTTACAGACTCACACACTTCATCCCTTACATACACAGAAACACACCTTGCAGCCCTTACACATACAAACACAGATTCACAAAATGCATTCCTTACACACAAATCAGGACATTCCCTACACACTCCATCCCCTGTGAACAAACTCATTGGTGGAAAATGAAGGTGGACCCTGGGACCCAGACCTTGAGCTGTGTAAAGGGCCCCCAAAAAATGGAGCTGCTTCTCGTTCTCCCAGAACATTGATTTGTGTGACCACAGTTACAAACAGCCTCCAGAGATCCTGTTATACACCAGACCAGTGGAGCCAGACTGCAGCTAGAGCCCATCATCATCCTCATCTGCTTGTAAGTAGGTAATCTAGTATATTATTCGTGGCACTAATTAAAGAAACCTCACATTAAAGAAACACTATAGTCCCCAGAACCACTGCACCTTTATGTAGTGGTCCTGGTGTCTATAGCCTGTCCCTGCAGGCCTTTTAATGTAAACACAGCGGCACTGCAGCACTAGCGTTAGTTAACATGGCAGGTCATATGGGTGGGGCATTGCGATGTCACGGGGGGGAGGAGGGGGGCGTCAAACTTTACTTTTGCCTAGGGCGGCAAAAATCCTTGCACCGGCCCTGTATAGAGCTCACCTGTAACAGATGATCAAGAGAAAAATATCTGTAGATATAAACCAGTAAAGTAACCAGCTATATATAAAAAAAAAGGAAAAAAGGAGAAATCAATTGTCTATATGTCGTACCATCAAAGAAAAAATAGAACAAACATTTTTCAAAAAACTAATAAGAATAATGAGAAGAAAAAAAGTTAAAAAACGAAAGAATGAAAAAAAGGAAAAAGGGAAAAAATATTTTAAAAAATCAGAAAAAAAGGAAAAAGAAAAAAATCAAGAAAAATGCAACTCACCTGTCTCGTGATGCCCCACCGTGCCCCCGGGTCCCATGTGTGGGGAACCCTGTACTGATGGCAGGTAGCGGACCCAATGAGGTCAAAATGTTGGCAGGAAAGAGCACTGGACCAAACCTGGTCAAGGGGAGCCTCTGTAGGGAGCACAAAGTCATAGAGCAGACAATGAATACAAGAAAAAAAGGAGAAGAGAAAAGGTTTGTCATAAAAAATGTTTAAGGTCATAGTCTTCATTAAGTCCTAATGGTGACAAAGTCTCCAAGGTACTTATCCATTTTGTTTCTCTCTGCAATAAGAGCTTCTGTCTATCTCCTCCTCTACGTAGAGGTGGAATTCTGTCCAAGACTTGAAACCTTAATTGGTTTACATTATGACCATGTGTTTTAAAATGTCTGGGTACCGGAGCCTCCACTTTATTGTGCTGTAATGCTGCCCGAATGCTCCTTTTATGCTCCCCTATCCGCTCTTTCACTGGCCTGATGGTCTCCCCCACGTACAGGAGTCCACAGGGACACTTAAGAGCATACACAACAAAGTCTGAGTTGCATGTAAAAAATTCTTTAACATAAAATTTCTTGCCTGATCTGGGATGAACAAAATATTCCCCCTTGATCACACTGTTACAGTGTGAGCAATTTAAGCATGGAAAAGTACCCTTCTTGGGTTCTGAAAAAAATCTGGTTTGTTTCTTAGAACTGCCAATATCTGACCTTACTATCATATCCCTCAGGTTCGAGGCCCTCTGGTATGCAAAGAGTGGGGATTGTTGGAATATCGGGGGTAATTGGATATCCCCTTGAAAAAGTTGCCAATGCTTTAATATAACCTGTCTTATATCTCTGTTAAGTGGAGTATATGGCGTCACCAACGTAATCCTTTCTACTTTATCTCTGGCCCCTGTACCTGAAAGGATTTCTTGTCGAGAAAGATTGTCTACCTTCTGTTGTTGGTTGTCGATTATATGTGTGGGATAACCTCTCTCTATGAATTTTTTGGCCATAAAATCTAAGCCTGTCATCACTTTATCCTCCTGTGATACTATCCTTTTTACCCTTAGCAATTGACTGAATGGTAACCCATTCTTTAGATGGATTGGATGAAAGCTCGAGTAAGTTAATAGATTGTTACGGTCAGTGGGTTTTATGTACAAATCGCTGTGTAGGCAATTTTGTACTCTCTGTACCTGAACATCTAAAAAAGGGACTGTAGTCGTATCACAGCACATAGTGAATTTGATATTCTCATCTTGTACATTTAATGACTCAAAGAATTCCTGTAGGTGGGCCCTGGTGCCGCTCCAACATATGAACACGTCATCTATATATCTTTTCCAAACTAAGTATTTTGAAAATAAAGGATGTTGATAGATGCATGTTTCCTCCATTCGATTCATATACATGTTAGCATATGTTGGAGCGACATTCGAGCCCATAGCTGTACCCTTAATCTGTTTGTAGTACTTGTCACCAAACAAAAAGTAATTCTCCATCAAAATGAAAGTCAGTAGTTCCCTAATATATTTACGGGTCTCCCCTTGTTGGGTTAGTCTCGGGTCTCTATCCAGTGTCCAATCGACTGCCTATATCCCTCTATTGTGGTCAATTGAAGTATATAATGACTGTACATCCATGGTTACCAACCAAAAGTCACCTGGTGGAATCTGTATGTCTGCTAATAGTGTAAGAAATGTAGTCGTATCTTTAAGATATGATCTCTGTAATGGGACATATTTAATCAAAAATTTGTCCAGTATCTCTGCTGGGTGTTGGAATATCGACCCAGTCCCACTGACTATCGGTCTACCTGGTGGAAAGAGGGGGTTCTTATGTATTTTTGGGAGGGTGTAGAACACCGGAATTCTTGGGTATTTAAGGTTCATATATTTATATTCTCCATCAGAGATAATATTTTTAGAGAGGGCCCATTGGTTAAGCTTGTCTAGTGTACGTTTCAGATTGTGTGTAGGGTCTTGACTAATGAGTAGGTAATTAGTATTATCCATTAGCTGGGTCTCAATTTCTTTTGTATAATATGTACGATCCATGATCACCAATGCTCCCCCCTTGTCTGCCGGTTTGATAATAATGGATGCATCTTTCTTCAGATTATTGATATTCGACCAATCTTGTTTAGTAAAATTAATACTTTTCCTCTGATAACCATGTGTATATTGATGTTTTCTCCTGAGTTTATATATATCTTTTTTCACAAGATTGGTGAATATATCAATGGATGTATTAATATTATGTGGTGTGAAAGTGCTTTTAGGTTTCAAACCTGTATCAAGGGAAAGGACAGTGCGTGGACCAGACTCGGAAATGTAGTATCCCACAGTCTCCATATTTCCTTCCTCATATAGATCTCCCTGTGTAATCTGTGCAGTGTTGTCAGTAGATTCTGCTGCTGTGCAAGAATTGTGCTGATCTGTTGAAAAAAATGCACGTAATTTAAGTTGGCGAAAAAATTTATACAAACTGACGTCATATTGGTGCCACTCTATATGAGGTGTGGGAATGAAGGAGAGTCCCTTATTCAGGGTCCCCTCCTCCATAGGGCTTAAGGGCCTACCTGAAATATTATTGTGTATTAGAGATTGCGTCTCGATTGGGGCGGTCGGCCCTGTCTTTTCTCCCGAATGCTTCTTGTTGTAACCCCCCCGCCTGGTGTTTCTTCGTGTCGTGTGCCTCTCTCTAAAAAAGTCATCCCTGAGGACGAGGAGGCAGAGGAGGAGGATGTAGCCCCTTCTGTATCTGAGCGCCATCTCTGTGTATTTGTATCTCTGTTAAATCTGTATGGACGATTATCTGCTCTAGAGTACCAGGTATAAACTTGATCCCTTTGGTAATCTAATTCGTCTCTATGAAATTTTTTCTTTTTGAATTCTTCCGTTTCTCTCTGATATTCTTTTAATTTTTCTTCTATTTGCTTTTTGAGCGTTTCTAAATCAGTTGATGCAGTGACCGCTGCTAGTTCTTGTTCCGCTGTTGCTATCTCTTTAATAAGTTTAGTTAATTCTTTCTGTAGAGATTCTATGGTTAATACCATAAGGTCCACTGAGCATTTGTTTAGAATTTTATACCATACTGTTCGGTGTTCAGCATTGTCCCTACATAATGTGGGATGTAACCTAACCCTCAGACCCCTTGGGATTCTCTTTTGTCTAAGATATTCTTCTAGGGTGTTTACATGTAGTTCCCAACTAATCTTTCTTTTTAAATCTCTCTCAAGTTTATGAGCTATTCCACGTTCACTATCATTAGTTAAAAATTCCCTAGCTCCTCTAAGAGCTGATGTGATACGGTTAATATCACCCTCTGTATAGGCAAACGTTGCCATAAAGTCAACTATGTATAGGTGAAAAAATATAATCCTATGAAAAAAATTTTTGGACAATCTAATTCGCTTCCTGAAGCGAAAAATTTAACTTGATGTTATAGTGCAAAGATGTAAATCGCATAACGGTGCTCCACACTAGGGAAGACAATATACAAAACACAATATGTGCTGGCACTCAATTATGCACGGTGCAGGTATTCAAGGTAATAATAATAAATAGCTTTTGCAATTAAATATAAGATTAGACTTTACTGGAATTGTTTTGAGTGCGGTATTCACATTTGTTTTTGATTTAGATTAGGAGGTTGTTGTGGGGTTAAACCTCGAATACCTGCACCGTGCATAATTGAGTGCCAGCACATATTGTGTTTCATAACATATGCATTGCCTAATCTCAAGCGACAAGCATGGGACATGCCGTACATGCTGTGAGAGGAGCTGGCTTCAGATCTTGCACCACGTGGGCGCTATGGAGAGAGATCGTGACAGCTGGACATGCTCACCTATCATCAATTAGTGCAGTACCTCAAGAAATTGGGTGCCTATCATACCAAACTCAGAAATCCTACACCATTTGAATTGGTATGCACATGCAGAGAGAGTTTGGCCAGAACATTATCTCATATTTATTCCCTAATATAGCTAGGAAACGCCAATTCAGAACCTACTTCCTTTCAACTGAAATGGTCATCGAACCTACGGTTACAACCTGTAACATATTCAGCCTCACCTTGCGGCATTTGCGCCCAGCGATCGTGCGTTTGTGTGCATGACTCCTGCAACATGTCGATGGACATCGGCCGCTGCAAATCCATGCCAAATTATAGCCCTTCGTCCGCCCATGTTGATGACGATGCCGGCTTGTGCATCGTCATCATAGGAGATGCCCACGCACTTTATGGGGTCAAAGGCCGATTTTCGGCCAATCAGAGCTAAAATAGGTTTATTTAAACTCCTTATGCCTTTTCATCATTACCTTGTCGTGGTTTCCCTGGTGGTTGTCCGAGAGTGTGTTTCTGAGCGTTTACTTCTGGTTATTGACTTTGGCTTCATATTGACTTCCCTGTATTCTGATATCCCTGACATCTGGATTTCCCTTATCGTTGTGTCTCTTTCTGTATCCCCAACCTCGGCTAGTATTCTGACTATTCTCTGGTACGTTTAGTCTGGCCATTCTAAGGCCCGGACAAGATGTTACCTTTTAGTCCTAGTTGTGACACAATTCTACTGGATCAACTAGCAATTCTGACAACCCTCAGAAAGGGACTAGTCCCATATTTTCACGCAGGCAATGCAGTCTTTCTAGGAGGGAAGCCTTCTATAAGCGTATAACCAGATGGTACAGGACCCCACCCTGCTACACTCTTTCCTTCCCACAATTAGCAATATATGCTGGAGGTGTCAGGGAGCAGAAGGAACGATGAAGCATATATGGTGGCATTGTGACTACATGAAGCCATTTTGGTGTAAGACAATCGAAATCATCCGTTTGGTCTCCCCAACTATCCCCATGCTTACAGCATCTCAGGTTAAAAATTATAATAATTTGTTGGGTGAAATGTGTATTAGTGTGTGTGTATGTTTGTCAGTGTGTGTCTGAGTGAGTGTGTCTGTCAGTGTGTATCTGTCAGTGTGTGTGTCTGTCAGTGTATGTCTCAGTTTGTGTCTGTGAGTGCATGTGTCTGTCAGTCAGTGTATGTGTCTGTCAGTGAGTCTGTGTGTGTGACTGTCAATGTGTATCTGTCAGTTAATGAGTGTGTATGTCTGTGAGTGTATGTGTCTGTAAATGAGTGTGTGTCTGTCAGTGAGTATTTGCGTAATACTGTGTGTCTGTCAGTGAATATATGTGTCTGTAAATGAGTGTGTAAAAGACCACAGAATATTAGAAATACACTAGTAAAAGCGGATATTGGTCCCTTAAAGCTAAAAACACAACAATTCCTTTCAACTCCAATCTATGGCACATTCACATGTCATAACTGCCATTTTTGCAATTCCATCATTAAGGGCAATAGTTTTTTTCATCCCCTCACAGGTCGAGCTTATAACATCAAAAATTATTTTACTTGTGAGTCTACCTATGTTGTTTATGTTCTGAAGTATATATTAAGGAAGAACCCATGGCAATAGATGTGCAAATGATTGCTGCTAAAAACTGGCAGAAAAATTGTAATTGGTTAACTCAAGACAAGGTGCTGCAACAACTAATGAAAGTTTATATAAACAAAGCTCCAGGGTATAATGGTATTCATCCATGAGTACTTAAGGAACTAAGTGTAGAAATAAGTGAACCTCTGTTTTTAATCTTTTATGATTCTTTTATTTCAGGAAGTGTTCCGGAAGATTGGAGGAAGGCAGATGTGGTTCCTATATTCAAAAAGTGTTCAAAACCCTTGCCTGGAAATTATAGACCTGTGAGCTTAACTTCTGTGGCTGGAAAAGTGTTTGAAAGGTTATTAAGGGATAATATTCAAGAATTCCTTGAAAGGAACATGGTTATCAGCAAACATCAGCATGGTTTTATGAAGCACAGGCCATGTCAGACTAACTTGATTGCATTCTACGAAGAAGTAAGTAGAAGTATAGATCAGGTTGTTGCAGTGGATGTGTAGAAGTAGAAGTATAGATAAGGGTGTTGCAGTGGATGTGTTCCACACAATAGATTAGTGTTCAAACTCAAAGAAATCGGTCTAGATTAAAATTCTTGTTCTTGGGTAGAACATTGGCTTAAAAATAGAGTACAAAGAATTTACCATTTAATGACACAGAGGTGGCAAGTGGTGTCCCTCATGGTTCTGTTCTGGGACCCCTTCTAGTTAATATGTTTATAAATGATCTTGAAAAATGCATTGAAAGCCGTGTTTCAGTGTTTCAGTGTTTGCAGATGACACAAAACTCTGTAGAGTAATACAATGTGAGCAAGATATTACTTTGCTGCAGATGGATTTAGATAGACTGGGGGACTGGGCACTCAAATGGCAGATGAAATTTAATGTAAAAAAATGCAAAGCTATGAACTTCAGTATAAAGAATGCACAAGCAACGTATACCCTTAATGGAAGCGAATTAGGGATCACAACACACGAAAAGGACTTGGGAATTGTTATAGACAACAAACTATGCCACAACGTGCAATGGCAATCAGCAGTGGTTAAGGCCAGTAAGGTATTGTCATGCATGAAAAAGGGCATTCATTCTCGGGATGAAAATATCATTTTGCCTCTTTATAAATTACTGGTAAGACCACATATTGAATATGCCGTGCAATTTTGGGCACCTGTTCTAAAGAAGGATATTATGGCACTAGAAAAAGTGCAGAGATTGGCTACAAAATTAATAAAAGGAATGTAACATATCAGCTATGAAGAAAGGTTAACAAATTTAAACCTCTTCAGTTTAGAAAAACGTCGCCTGAGAGGAGATGTAATAACATTATACAAATATATTCGGGGTCAATACAAACCATTGTGTAGAAATCTATACACAAACCGGATTTTACATAGGACACAAGGTCATGCGTTTAGACTGGAAGAAAGAAGATTTTGTCTAAGGCAAAAAAAAGGTTTTTTTACTGTAAGAACAATAAGGATGTGGAATTCTCTGCCTGAAGAAGTGGTTTTATCAGTGTCCATAGAGATGTTCAAACAGCAACTAGATGCATACTTGCAAACACAGAATATTCAAGGATATCATTCAATGTAGGGTAATAGCTTTTTGATCCAAGGATAAATCTGACTGCCATTCTGGGGTCAAGAAGGAATTTTTTTTCCTAGTTTGTTACAAAATTGGAAGTACTTCAAACTTTTTTTCCCCTTCTGTTTTGAGCAACAGCAAAAAACAAATGTGAGGAAGGCTGAACTTGATGTAAGTGCCCGTGTGGCCTTCTCTATGTAGGAGAGGCCAACCTGAAGGTCCGAGAGAGACTCAATAAACATAAATCCACCATCAGAACTAAACAAAGAGAGCTTCCTATACCTGCACATTTCTTGGAACGTAATCATAATATATCCCAACTGCATTTTCAATTGATTGATCATGTGCCTCAATTAAGGTTAGGTGGTAACCGTCAAGGTTTACTCAAAAAGAAGGAGTCCTTTTGGATACACACTTTAGACACCTTATGGCCAAAGGGGCTTAATATTGACTTTTCTCTTACTCCTTTTTTATAATTTTTGAACAGTGTTGGTCATGGCAATGAGTTTGCCTTTTCTCCCTATTGTCTTTTATGCTATCCGAAGTTACATCGTACCCTCTTATACCCACCTCGATGCGATGGTAATATGTGAGGAATGTTAGGACTTGCATATATTATTAGGGAATTAATGGTACATTTTTTCTTTTTCTTTTTTGGATTACTTGTTTAGTAGTTTGTTTGTTTTTTCATATTATTTAGTTATATTATATCCTTTTGCACCCGCCTATCATATGGAGGCTAAATACTGTGAATATTCCTATTTAAATATTTGATAGTGTGAAATTGACTCACATTTATTGTACTCTTCATATTTCTAAAATGTCTAATAATTCTAATATTTCATTTATATTGTGATAAACATATTTGGTATATTACATCTCTATTACTAGTTCTTTTCAAGCAGGTTTCAATCTCTGATGCTTTTTCTCTTTTAATATTAGATACTTGTTTCAATTTATATGAATATATATATGAATATATGAATATGTATTCATTTTGTATCATATGGTTAAATTGTATGCAAGCTAAATGGTGAACTATTATAACTTGTTACTTTCATCTTTAACATGGTATTAATGCATTTTGTTTTACCAATATCTGCTGATTCTATGTCAATTCTAAGATGCCATTTAGGATTTTGCATAGATTTTTTATAAAATATTAGAACCTTCAATGAGGTATTGATGAAAAATATTTTTTTGGACTAAAATCTGTTTTTGCTAAAATTTTATATCTTTTTGGATATTTATCCTGTACGTTTAGTGAATGGATTCTGATTTTTATTATATTGGTCGTTATACCTTTA